CGTGCAGTTGCTGCTGCTGCAGTTCCTGCTGCTGCAGTTGCTGCTGCTGCAGTTCCTGCTGCTGCAGTTGCTGCTGCTGCAGTTGCTGCTGCTGCAGTTGCTGCTGTTGCTGCTCTTGATTGCCACAGGTTTGCTGCTGCCAGTGCTGAAGAGCGGGAGCAGCAGCTGGTACAGCTTGCTGCGGCTGCAGCGCAGCTACTGCGTGGGCTGCCTGGTGCAAAGCCGCGGCATCCCCCTCTCCTGCTGCTGCTGCCGCCGCTGCTGCTGCTGCTGCATTTGCTGCAGCGGCTGCTGCAGCATGATGGGCAGCAGCGCGCAGCAGCAAAGCAATAAGGTCGTTTCTGTTGCCTGTCCCTGCTGCTGCTGTCACCGATGGGACGGACGCACCATAGCCCCCAGCAGAAGGCTCCAAGAAGCCAAGTTGCCCATGCTGCTGCTGCTGCTGCTGCTGTTGCTGCTGCTGCTGCTGCTGCTGCTGTTGCTGCTGCTGCTGCTGCTGCTGCTGCTGTTGCTGTTGCTGCTGCTGCTGCTGTTGCTGCTGTTGCTGCTGCTGCTGCTGAAGGCTGGGTTGCTGAATAGTCAGTGGATACAATGGGGCGAACTGCGGCTGCTGCGGCTGCTGCGGCTGCTTTTCGCACTGGGGGACCGAAGGCGGCACAGGAGCAGCAACAGCAGCAGCAGCGGCTGCTGCTGCTGCTTCTGCTGCTGCTGCTGTTGCTGCTGGAATGGGGAAGCTGAGGAGGCCCGGAGAGGATTCCCGGCGGTCGCTAGGCTCGTCCGCATCAGTTGCGTCGACGCGAGCAGCAGCAGCAGCAGGAGCAGCAGCAGCAGCAGCAGCAGCAGCTGCTGCTGCTGCTGTTGCTTCCGGGACCTGCGAGGAGTTCCTGCGAGTCTCATCTTCCCTCTGGCCCAAAATCTCGAGAGAGGACTCTCTCTGCAGCAAAACAGAAGCAGCAGCAGCAGCAGCAGCAGAAAATGCCAGCGCAGCAGCAGCAATTAAAGACGAGATTAACAGCAGCAGCACTGCAGAGTTAAGGCAAAACGCCTTGCTGCTGCAGCTGTTCCGCAGCTGCAGATGGAGCACGAAGACCCACGCAGCACCTGAACCCCCCTACTTCAGCAGCAGCAGCAGCAGCAGCAGCAGCAGCAGCAGCAGCAGCAGCAGCAGCAGCAGCAGCAGCAGC